TACAGGTAGTCCTCGACATACAACAGTCGAGGTCGCTTAGTGACCGTTCAAAATTACAATGGCACTGAAAAAAGTGACTTATGACCATTTTCACACTTATGACCATTGCAGCATCCCCGTGGTCATGTGATTTATATTTGGATGCTTGACAACTGATTTTATTTATGATGGTTGCAGTGTCCCAGGGCCATATAATCACCTTTTGCAACAAGCAGTCAATGGGGAATCCAGATTCACTTAATAACCGTGTTACTAATTTAACAACTGATTCATTTAACAAATGTGGAAAGAAAAGTCAAAAAATGGGGCAAAACCAGTGGTGGGATTCAGCCAGTTCGCACCACTTCGGGAGAACCGGTTGTTAACTTTCTGAGCAGTTTGGTGAACTGGTTGTTGGAAGAAATCATTAGGCCAGAGAACTGGTTGTTAAATTATTTGAATCCCACCACTGGGCAAAACTCACTTAACAAATTTCTCACTTAGCAACAGAAATGTTGGGCTCAATTGTGGGGATGAGGATTACCTGTATAACAAAGTTGGAAGGGACCCTTAGAGGTCTTCTGGTCCAATATCCTGCCCAAGTAGGAGACCCTATATGATTCCAGACAAATGGTTGTCCTGTCATCCTTTTTTCCCCCACCCACTTCTAACCTAATGTAAATGGATAAGATCTGTCATACTCAGTTTCCTTATCAGCCTCACTGTGATCCTCATTACTCAGTGCTTTCCAGAGAGGTTGAGGCGGAAGCAGAGCACAGGGTGACAAAGAAGGAAACAAAAATACAAGAAATTGTGAAACAGAAATAAACTGCTGATTCCAATTGAAGAATATATATGTAGCTCGGGGTTGAATTGTGAAGTCCTTGTTGCTTTCTGAGTTTGGTTGTTTACTTGCAGACATTTCATTACTTGAGTAGGTGACTGTGAGTGTGCACTCCTTATTTATATACAACAGCTTGTGCTGTTGGTGAGGGATTAGTTTTCTACTTGGTAGTTCCTTAATTAGAGTATTGTTTTCTGCTTGATTGTTAATCCCAGTTTATTTGGCTATAGGCTGCTGAAGCAGATGTATTTTGGTCTGCTTCCTTCTTAGCTTTTTTATTGTTTCTTTTGAAGAGTGTGTAAATGTAATTTATCTCTATGTGTCTATTAATGGCTGATTTGTCAGAATACTGTGTTCCCAAGTATTCTCTAGTGGTTTTGAATTTGGCTTGCTCTAGGATGCTCAGTTTCCGAGACGAAATTATGGTTGAGTCTGCCCATGTGTTGTAACTTTTCATTGTGTCTTGTGACTGTTAGTTGGTATTCATTGTTGTGCTCTGCTATCTTCTGCCTTCTATCACACATAGTGGATATTACAGTCTTTACACTGTATGTTGCAGATAACTTCTGGTTTGTTTTTGTTTTTTTTTGTTTATCATTTTTGTTTAGTTGCCCACCTCACATAAAAGTGATTCTGGGCAGTGTTGTTCTTGAGTGACTGGGTCTACACTGTGGTTTACTAGAGATGTTTTGAAGGGCTTCACTTGATTCATGTGCTATGGCATGTGGTTGTTTCTAAAATGTCTTTGTTGTACGGCAGTGTTATTCTTTTCATGACTTGTATTAATTGTGTCACAGTGAGTTAAATACCTAGTCAGGCACATGTTGATAATGTTGCATGGCAATCCATTCTGTTGGAAGATGCATAGGCAGTCTGTTTCCTTTTTCTGGTGTTCTAGGTTTATGCAGTGTATTTATACTCATCTGAATAATGTTCGTATATAGCTTCTCTTGTGGGAGGTTGGGTTGTTACGTTGTCAATAGAGCATTTGGTTAGTATGGGTTGTTTTTCAATTGGTTTGTTTTTCTAATTTGCTGTCATTTCTTCTGCTGGTGAGGATATGTAGGGAGGGCAGTGAATTGTTGCTTTTATTCATTTGATTGCTGTTGATTGCTTCATGTATCTTTTCCACTTGTTCCTTTTTTATTATGATGGAGATGTCGTCTACATACTGGATCCATACTTTTAGTTGCACATGTTGGAGTGCTCTGGTCTTAGATGTTGGATTATGGCTTCTACTGAGCCCGAAGTATGGTGATCCCATGGATGTTGCTCTGATTTGTTGGTCTATTTGTCCGTCAAACTGAAAATTGGTAGAGAGTCAGAGATCAATGAGGCTTATGATTCTGGTTATTTCAATCTTAGTGTTTTGGACTAGGTTGGTGTTGTATAGTTGTGCTGCTGTGGACCTTTCTCTTCTTTTAGAATCTAGATCTGTGGGTGTAAAGAACTCTGTGATATCAAATGAAACCATACTTTCATTTTCTATTTTTACATCTTTGATTTTTTTGGGAGCCACTAAAGTGGGGAGTCGATAGAATATTTGCTCCCCTAAATGAGATGTCCAAGTTTTGGACATGTCCAAATTGCTTATTCTGCATTTGGGAAGAGAACAAAGAATGCTAATCTGAATACAAACAGAAAAGTAGTTTATTTTTTTTTAGAGTTATTATTTAGAGCCTCACACCTTACCCCCAGGTGATTCCACTTTTAGCTGCTTGAGAAATACAGCTCCACCTCAGCATAATGTGAAGTGGACTTAAAACATTTGGTATTCTAGGCTCATATAAATAAAATCAGTCTCCTTAACTTCTGGGCCTTTCACAGGTACGTGGAATGTATGAAGTTTTCTTGGCCTCAAATAGAAGCGGTTTGCTACTGACTTCTTCTGGATATTTTTTCCACTTAAAACCTGATCCCCAGAAAGGTCATGCGTTACTATGTACTATTACTCTGCTTTTTATTTGTGATTTAATTAATAAAATGCTGAATGCTCGAACTCAGATCAATTGCTTAAGAAGTGTGGCACTTTTTATTTGTAAACCCTGGATTGTTTACACCAAAATACAAGGACTAAAAAAAAGTTTTAGTTTTGTATACTGGATATTAAACTTCTCCAGCATCCCAAAAAGAATACAACAAACTGCTTGGACCAGGACTGGTTCAAGATAAGCAGTAGAAGAAACAGAATTGACTCCCTGTAGTTCCAAAATAAAGTTGTATCTGTCATTAAATACACCCCATTTTTCAAAAGGAGGTAAGCAATTAAACATGTCTATACAATTAGCTAAAAGTTAATATTGTATCTCAGAAGCAGGGTGGAGTTTAAGTTGAAATGGTAAGGTCCAGGAAAACCAAATTTGAACTTATAGTAGTCCAGTATTACAAGTTTAACTTGAATAGTGTAGTAAAATAAAAACTAGGCATGACCACTGTTCCACACTTATTTTAGAACCTTAAAATTCTACACTAAGAAGAAGCTACTTAGGCCATGGAACCTAACCCTTCTTCAATTTAAGAAACCAAGAGAAAAAATTCTAACAGAAACTAAAACAGAATAAGAGAGAACAAAGAAGGGGGAAAAAAAGAAAAGCCAATATACAAAAAGAAAGAAGCTTCCAATTTCCTTCTTAGCAAATGAGTACAAAGCTGTATCTTACCTAATGATTACAAAAAAACCTACCCTTTTCTATTATTCACTTTTTTCTAATCATCAAAATGGCAAATCAAGAGTGCATTTTTTGTTTTATGCAAAAAAATTATGAGAGATTTTCAGTCAGCCATAAATGTAGATAAATGTATTTTCTCTAATCAAAAAAAGTTAATTTAACTGTCTCTGCAAGTTCTACCAGCTTCACCAACCATTGTGGGTAATGTTGAATCCTTCCATATGATAATCTTGCTGCAAGTGTCATATATAAGAACAAAGATTCATGGCTTTATTCCAGTTGCCTATTAATTCCAAAAGAAAGCCTCTGGTTTCAATCGTACTTTAATCTTTAAAACGTTCTTAATTAATGTACTGTTATGAATTTTGTATCCATTTTTTTTAGCTTTTTTACATGATAAAATGTCCCTTCCTGTTCTTCTCTCTACTAGCTCTTTGTACAGTATATCCAATTCTACTGTCACTGATTTATTAGGATACTTCTTCTAGAATTCAATGGTTATCTGCCTTTCTATCACTTAAATTGTTGTTCCAGGTCTTATATGATGGAATAAGAGAGAACTGGTCTTTTATTTTCTTATGTGTGGCATTCTTTCAGTATTTGAAGACTCCCCTCAGCCTTTCTTTAACCCTATGGCTCTAAGTTTATTTTATCTTTTGACAGGATTCTGTTCTTAGTCCTCTGATAATCCTCACTGCCCTTCTCTGCACCGATCCAATTCATCTAAAACAGGGGTTGGCAACCGTAAACACTCAAAAAGCCACAAGGTCCTAACCGGAAGCCCCCATTCAATTCTGGATCTGACCAGAAGTCCGGTTCCCCCATCATAGTCTCCTCCTAGCGCGGCGTCCTTTTTCTTCTCCTGACCGGAAGTCCGGTTCCCCCACTATAGTTTCCTCCTAGCACGGCATCCTTTTTCTTCTGCCAACTGGAAGTCGGTTCCCCCACCATAGTCTCCTCCTAGTGTAGCATCCTTTTTCCTCTACCTGTCCTAACGGAAAGCCCTATCAATCGTGGAGCTGACCAGCAACAGGGAGCCACACAGAGGGATGAAAGAGTCATATGTGCTCCAGAGCCGCAGGTTGTTGACCCCTGATCTAAAACCTTCTTTGAAACAAGGCATCCAGAACAGAGGGGCTGGGGCTGGGGCTGGGGCTCTGACCAAATACAGAATAAGTGGATTACTTCTTATGACTAAGAAACAGCTCTTCTGTTGATGCAGCCTAAAACTACATTTGCTGCTTTGGCAATCTCTGTTCACTCACATTCAGTTTGTAATCAACTAATATTCCAAGTTCTTCAAAAGTATCATTAGGAAGTGAGATATCCCTGATCCTCTCTCAAGTACATTTGATTTGACTCTCCTCCCCAAGACAAACAAACAAGAAAAAAATCCTTTATCTTTCAATGTTATGGGAATGAGACTGAAATTGTTCAGAGAATCAGATTGAAAAATCGGAAGCTGCCTCTGCAATTTGAGACAAGGCATCGTAAAAAATGGCCGTCTGTTTCATTAGATTCAGATTTATTTTTAATTTCCAAAAAGGTAAGATTTCAATATATCAAGTTTTATTTTTTGCAGTAATAAATACACTTCAATGAAAAAAATATTATAGAAGTATATAAAGAAAATATTATCTATATTGCTTATATTATACAATATAAATAAATGTATGAACATTTTACAACATCCTTGATATTGCACAGTAAAAAACAAACTTTGGTAGTCAGGTCTCATCTTTTCTACAATTTACCTGATGAATGGATATGCAAGATTCAGTTCAAACCAGGGATGAAATGCTCCCGGTTCGGACCGGATCGCCCAATCCGGTAGCGATGGTGGCGGGTGGTTCAGAAAACTGGTAGCAAAAATCCCTGCGCCCCCCCCCCAATGCCCAGCTGAGCCGCACGATCATCAGAGGCTTTTTTTTTAACTTTTAAAAGCATTTTTTCTGCAACCTCTTCTGACGAAAAAATGCTTTTAAAAGTAAAAAAAAAAGAAAAGCCTCTGATAATCGCGCGGCTCAGCTGGGATTGTCAGAGGCTTTTCAAAGCATTTTTTTCTGCAACCTCTTGCAACCGAAGAGGTGGCCAAAAAAAATGCTTTGAAAAGTCTCTAATGATCACAGCTGAGTTGCCTGATCGGCAGAGAGGTATTTTTTAAAAAGCCTCTCTGACGATCCCAGCTGAGTTGCCTGATCTGCAGAGGCTTTTCAAAGCATTAGAAAAAATGCTTTGAAAAGTTAAAAAAAAAAAAGTTGGGCACGCCCACCCAGTCACATTAACCCACCACCACCAAGCCACACCCACAGAACCGGTAGTAACAAATTTTACATTTCACCCCTGGTTCAAACATATTACTCATCCAACAAATTCATCTTAAACTCAGTTTGTATGAATCACAAACTCAAAAGTTTCCCAAACTGGATGTTTAGGAAACGGGGTCTTCCCAGTATTATAGGCATTTTGCGGAAAACTGTTGTTTAACAAACTGGTTCATCTTTTACAAAACAAAGACTGCTAAGCAGGAGAGACCTGAGAAAACAGAGGTAGTATTCAAACTCATCACTGATTTTTTTCCTTCACAAAGCTTGGTTGTTAGATTGGGCATTTGATTTCTGACTTCCTAAATATAAACTAATTGCAGATAGGATGTATCTAAACTTGATGATTTCCATGGAATTAGTGAGATGCAGCATGAAACTTGCATGGATTATTTTTGGTTACTATAGGCCTTCATTACAATAGTCACTGGTCTTACGACTTTTCACTTTTTTTGGACTTTGAATATTCTGGACTTCATATGCAATTTGGAATGAAACAGTTTATGTTCTATTGTAGATACTTCTTCATGGATGAGATAGGGCTGAACTCTCAAGAGGAAGGAAAACAGATCTAGCACAAACCGATAGGTATGGGGGAAATCCGATTCATTGTACCGTCCATGAGGACTGCGAGTCCTAACAAAGGAAGAAATAATATTGTAAGAAAAGTAGCACAAATGTATTCTAAAATTAAAATGTTCAAAAAAAAAGAGACCAAATCACAAATACTAATCATCTTGCGGGCTTAAAATAAAGAAAGACCCAAGTCAATTTCCTTGGAGGAAAAGCAAGATATGAATACAAATAAATAACATATAAGATAAATTAATTAAGACTGAGCTATTTATTTGGTTCTTAGTTTTAATGTGGGAGTGGGTTAGGAGTTGTTTGAAATGCAAACCACAAGGTATATACTACATATAATTAGCAATATTCAGCTGCTTTTGTGTAGAAGTTTTCATTCTCATTCTGGTACTGGGAAGTGTAATCTATCATTATCTCTAATGGCAAAATTAAAGGAAACAAAACTACACAATTCTCCTTAAAAATTGAGTTTAATGCCTAAGTGGGTTGACGAAGCTGTCTTAGTCCGATTGATTTTCAACAGCCACAATACTATATTCATGTAGATATATCACAGGCATGGCATTTATATAGGACTGTTCTAACCAGGCAACCCTGTAAATTTCTCAAACTCAAGAGCTGGTACAATAACTGTTTTTCCAATATTTTGAGACAGTTAAAAGTCAGAGCAGGCAAAATGATGCCATCAGAACATTAAGATTGTCATGTTAGTTTATTAGAGTTTATTAGATATGCTATTTGAGTCTATTTGATTGTTTATATGCCATTTTTGTTTGGTTTTTCCATTGAAAACTGGTGGGAAACCTCTACTGTTTATCATTTGCCACCATTTTTGCTTGCCGCATTTAACATCTATAGTATTTAAAAAGTAGATTTGGTGGCCATATGGAGTCCAAATTTCATTATTAAGTTCATAATATAATTGGTCTGATGTTTGTGGAAAATGTCTCTAAGAGTTTCTATAGCCTTACTGGAGCTTACTTTAGGAGAAGGAGTGGCAGAACCTGGGGGGCTGAGTCAAAAGAGGAATCAGCCTAGAGCCATGATGGCGAACCTATGGCACGCATGCCACAGGTGACACACGGAGCCATATCGGTGGGTACGCGAGCATTGCCCTAGCTCAGCTCCGGCCAGCTGATTTTTGGGCCTTCCAGTCCCACCAGAAGTTGGCAAACAGGCCATTTCCAGCCTCTGGAGGGCCTCCGGGGGGGGAAGGCTGTTTTTGCGCTCCCCAGGCTCCTAGAAAGGCTCTGGAGCCTGGGGAGAACGAAAAACAGGCTTTCCGGTCCGACCGGAAGTCGGCAAATGGGTTGTTTCCAGCCTCCAGAGGGCCTCTGGGGTGGGTAGGGAAGGCTGTTTTGTCTCTCCCCAGGCTCCAAGAAAGCCTCTGGAGCCTGGGGAAGGAGAAAAAGGCACCGTGTGCCAAAAGCGGGAGGGCAGGGCGCACTGAATTATGGGTGTGGGCACACGCGGGCACGACCCCCTGCGCTCCCCCGGCTTTTAGCACACGAGGGCAAAAAGGTTAGTCATCACTGGCCTAGAGTCTCTATGTGGCCACAAATAGACTAAGTTCAACCCCTCTTGAATTCCATTAACCCTTATTGAGAGCCAAAATAGCGTTAACCATTAGCTGAATAGATTCCTGCGCCATAAGCATGTTGTCAGTTTAACTGGAACTTCACACCTGACACAACTTTTGGAAATCTCTCTATTGTCTCACCAACCGCACTAGGACTTCAGTTTGTGTACTGGTGCTCTAATATAGGCAATTTAATTCAGCCATTTTAAAATATAACATACATTTTCAACAAAAGCATTAAATATTTACCTCTTGCACTTTTTAACTGAACACAACCAATAGTCTCTGTTCAGAGGGGTAAAGATATCCCCTTTTTGTTGCAAAAATGCTCCAAGGCTATGACCATGGAAACAGTTTTTTTTTGTGCTTTCTCCAGTCCAGTTGAACTGGAAAAGGGAAGGTTTTCGCTTCTCAGTTAGTTCCAGGCAGCCTGTCAGGGTACGAAACTGTCTCTGAAGATCCATTACCATCTCTGTACAAAACAAAATACTACAATAATAAAGTACAACCGTTCAAGATTGTTTTAGGTACACCCAAACATTTCAGGCTGTATGAAGGAAACAACACATTCAAATCCTTTGTAAAAGTTGCCTTGAAATTCAGAAGAGATAGCGGAGGTTAAAGCATTATTAAAACCTGCAAGACTATGGGCGTCTCACAATGTGCATTTTAATTTAATGTCAATTCACACAAATAGTTCTCACAAATAGCTGAGTGGATGCAAACAAACTTGGAAAATCTCATCCTTTTAAGAAAGGATGACATACATTTCCTCCTCGTGAATTTCTATTCCTGGAGTCTCATAAGTAACTTCAAGAGGGTAGCTCCAGGAGCAAGCGAGGAAGGATACAATTTCTAATTTTGTCTCATTTGTTTATGGGTTTCAATTTAGGTACTATCTGACTCTAAACCAACCATGGGCAGCTAGTAAAATTATAAACAATAAAAACAAAATACAACACAAAACAAATGGGAACTAATTGGTCTACACAAGGACTATCCCTGTCTAAAAAAAAAAAATCTCAAGGGGAGCCATCATCTCAATTCTTAGATCAGACAAAAAGAACAGTGCAGTAGCTCAACCCAGCACTAACGTATGTCTGAAATGGAAAGCTCTAACAACTGGAGCTGTCAACAAACTAGAAGAGTTAAGCAATATAAGAAAAAAAATGCAAAACAGGAATTTCCAAGAATGCTGTTTAATGTTAATTTGTTGTTAAATTTGTGGTCCTTTGTTGTTATAACTTTCTGGTCTTAGAAAAAAAAAAGATGGCCAAATCCTTTTCATGGCATTTAAGAGAATAGAAATTGACAGTAAGGAAATTATGTATGCCTCCAGCACCCGTCTCCCCCCCCCCCCCCCGCTTCAAAAGGAGCACTTGCAATCTCGGGATTTAAGAAAGCATTAGAAAGAAGTCTTCCAATTATCAAAAATTTCTGCACCACTACTCTCAGCCAAAACAGCTGTAGCCAGGCTAAAAAGGTTAGTAAAGAGGGTCATAATAAAACTCAAGCCCTGGTCTGCATAGCTACTATGAGGGAAGCTTAAACCACATCTAATCTATCTAGAAATGGAAATGCAAAATCTTAGTAGCCAGGGACCTCCCATGAATAACCACCAAAATACGTGGCACAATTCTTTCTGGAAGAATCCAAGTGATCTATGCAATTGTTGCCAACACTATATTTATCTTGAGGAGGAAAAGAATGCAGGCAAAGTTAAGAGTACTTTTTTGTGCATGGAGGAATTATACTGAGGATAACATAGTAGACCTCAGCAAGCAAGTATCAACTGAGAAATTTCAGTTGGAAGCCTAGTTTCTGGCCAAGGAGATGGTCAGGTGATTTCAATTACAGATGATACAGGGAAACTTCACAAGCCTATTTCTAAGGCTGCGTTGGCAACCCTACAAACGTAAAAGGTAAAGGCTGAAAAAAAAAAGAATTTTAATTCAGTGTGACAGAACATAGATAGTAAATAAAACTAAATGATCTAATCTGAATAAATGGGTGGATAAAAGGAAAAACCTACTCGGTAGAAGCTATTCACTGCTAGTTCTGATATCTTAAGGAATTAGAAGTGAAATCTTTTAACAAATCTGGCCTACAGATTATTACAAAAACCATTTCCTGAGTTCAGAGATTTTCTTAAGTGAACACCACCGAAGAAAGCTGTTCATTAGAAATTTTGGAGCGCCTACAGTAAAACGTCTCTTTGATTCTAACAACATTCAAAGCGATGAATTCTTGGGGAATTCTATTCCACTCAGCTCACAAAGTAGGACTAGTGTGGGGATCAGGATTTTTTCTGTTGAGTTAAAACGAGAAATTACACTTTGTTCTTTCTGGAAGGAGATACTCTTCTAAGGTCTTCTTATTAGGGCACAGAATGGGAAAGAGAGCCTGGAAATGGATTCCCTGGAAGGAATAGTTCTAGGAAATGCTTAAAATTATCTACTCAGAAAGATTAGGGCAAGTGATCTGGCTAGAGGGGATCTGCTCCTGTAATCTTGATATGTTGCACATACTCTGGTAAATCACCTCGTAAGTCACCTGTGTAAGATGGGCAGTCATATAAATCATATAAACAAATAGTCAAATGAATAAAATTGATTTTATAATTGTAGAGCAAGTTATTTTGGCCTCTCATTCTCTGAACAAAAAAGAATATGATGTATATTTTAGGAAAGGGAAGTAACAGTAAGTTTACTCACGTTTCTTCTTGAGGACAACGTACTTTTCAGAGGCTGAATATAATAGTGGCTTCTCACATCGCCATAAACGCCTAAAAATGAAATAATGGCTGTGGGTGCATGGAGGAAACATCCCCAAATGGTCATGTTACAATCAAACCCATATACAAGTCCCCCTTCCCTTAAGTTCTGAGAGCTGAGACACACACAGAGGTTACATTATGTCATGCTCCCCACATTTTTATATGACAGTCACAGTTTTACATGACTTCTAACTTTATCATTATCTTTTTAGTATCACTATTCTTTCCTCAAATGGAAAATGTTCCAACTTGACCAGTTGACCAGTACTGGCCTTAACTGTTAGCAGGGAATATTGCATGCAGACTGGATGCAACTGAAGCTTCTAACTTAGGCTACACTTTTCCAAATCACTGGAAAACATTTGGGGAAAGTTTAATTGACCTCTAGATGGTAGAGGTGAGTACTTAATGGTTTACCTGGTGACTATGGAAAATGGAAGGCTATCACATAGAGCAGGGGTCCACAGTACCCGGCCCACTGCCCACTATCGGGCCGTGAGCTCTTCAGAACAGGGCTTCCCAAAGCAGTGTGCGAGCGCATGCACATCCCCACTTGCGCAAGCAGTGGGTGAGCGTGTGCATGTGTGTTCCATTTGCACAAGCAACAGGCGCGTCTGCCTGCCACTTGCACAAATGGAGCTATGCGTGCGGGTGCTTGCCCATCGCTCACGCAGTTACTCCCTCCCCCGGTCCGCAAAACCAAAAAGGTTGGGGAACTCTGACATAGAGAATAAGTGGACTCAATGATAGATACCATGAATTAATAATAATAATAATAACTTTATTGTCATTGTACGTATATAAACAGTATACCCATACAACAAAATTTACTTAATATCCAAAGACCAGGTCCAACACACATAACAATCCCCAAACACCCCCTCACCCACAAATTACCCGCCCCTAAACATCCACACAACAGACCAAGTAATGCTGTCCAACAGCTCACTGATGGTGGCCCTTTAGTTCATTGTTGAGTGCAATCATAGCTCTGGGATAAAAACTATTCAGAAAACGTGTGGTCCGAGTTTTAATTTTTCTGTATCTTCTGCCAGAAGGCAACAGTCCGAAAAGATTTGATATGTTGTATGTATACGAAACTAAGGGAAACCGGAAGAATGTCGATCTGAATGAGCCTTGGTGGCGCAGCAGACTAAAGCACTGTTAAGTAACACCAACTGCCTGCAATTACTGCAAGTTCAAATCTCACCAGGCTCAAGGTTGACTCAGCCTTCCATCCTTTCGAGGTAGGTAAAATGAGGACCCGGTTTGTGGGGGCAATAAGCTGACTTTGTATAAAGAAAAGAACACCGCTTAGGGGGGCCCGAAAGCCCTACTAAGCAGGTATATACAAAAGTATGAAGGCTATTGCTTTAATGCATTGTAAGCCGCCCTGAGTCTCCGGAGAAGGGCGGCATATAAATTGAACCAATAAATAAATAAATGATCTTGATATTATAGATCAAAGTTGATAAAAACAGACATGAAAGCAAAAGTATAGGTTTGATTATGAATGAAATGGCTAACCTGTGGTTTAGAGTAAAACTCCAGAAGATGAGAAAAGCTGTACATGTTAGGACATTTATTTTATTAGATTATATGAATGAGTGGGTGTGAAGAAAATGAGGAAGTACAAAACAAATTGCTTTTGGCCATTCAGAGACTCCAAAATGAATACCAATGGTGAGTATTTGATGAGCATCTGCTTGAAAAAGTCATCTTTAATAGCAATAGCAGTAACACTTAGATCTATATACCGCTTCACAGTGCTCTACAGCCCTCTCTAAGTGGTTTAGAGTCAGTATATTGCCCCCAACAATCTGGCTCCTCATTTTACCAACCTAGGAAGGATGGAAGGCTGACTCAACCTAGAGCCAGTGAGAATCAAACCGCTGGCAGTCAGCAGAGTTAGTCTGCATTAATGCATTCTAACCATTGCACCACCATGGCTCTGTTTAATTGTATGTATAGTCAATAAATAAGTGTATTAAAAAAGACTGAGTGCATTAATGAACGATACGAGAACAATGAGAGTTTGAAATGTGGGATCATTAGTTGATACAGAGGGGACCTTGGGGAAAAAGGAAAAAAGAAATGGGAACCCCACCCCCACCCCCAAAATGAAAGTTGAAAGCCTGCAGGAAGATAAAATATTAACTCCATATGATAATTTCCCAACACAATAAATAGAAAATAAATAGATGAAAAGATGTGGAAACCCTTTGGAATACCCCGAAACAAATTGTAATACAGAATACCATAGAAGAGTATGGAGCTATAGATATGAAAAAGAATACTAGGCAGAATGACTAAATGTATGAGTCTTTGTGAATGAGGAATAGAACAGAACAGAATAGAATCAGTGAGAGAAATTTGTGAACTTTTTAGAATTATCTATAATGCTGTATAATATTATGGCATGCAGTGTGATCTCGGCTTCATCCAATTCCTGCTAATAGATATTCTGTTTAAATAAACCTCACAGAAACTAGTGCATTTCATTGTTTGTTTAAGCAGACTCTCTTTACTGCGAATCAGATAACCTCTGACACAGTAGTACAATATTACGTATAGTTCTGAAGAATTTACACTACAGTATATTAGCTAATGATTGTTGCAAAAATGATAAAAGAAGCATACAATATAATGTGAAATAAAGAAAGTTGCAATGAACAAAAACAAACAGAGCAAGAATTAGTTAAACAAGCTAATGCTTAAAGGAGACTGGGTAATGAAAAACAATTTAGCTTATAATAAAACATAGTTCTTCAAATGAATGAAAATAGGCAATAAGGAACCTCTAGTAGAATGAGTTGAATTAAAAATAAAAATCACAAAATAATTTGGGATAAAACTGACATGAACCAATATTTGGAATATTTTTGACATCCATAGGGGATAGTGATTTGCCAAAGAATGGGACCAAAATGCACATCCAAGCAATACACTGATGAAAAGGAAATCATAAATATACTGGGAATGTTGAAAAATCAGAAGACTACATGTGTAGAATATATATTAAAGAAATGTGAAAATACAGACATGGTTGTGAAGTGGCTGGTTAACATGTGAGTATAAAGACTGCCTGAAAATTGAAATATAACACCAACAATATCTGATAGGGAACTTAAAGTTAGAGAACAGCAGCAATGGCAAAACTAATAGCATATATCCACATCAGAAGTCTAACATGAATCCATATATACAATTTATCATGCAACTAGGCAAATACAACCATTTACAGTATGGCTTCTAAGGAACTCTAAATGTTTATACTCACTGCAAATTGGTCTGAGTACAAAAAAAGGGGAGGTTAGGGGGAGGAAAATCGCAGCATACAGAGTAGTAGTGTAGCTTGAAATAATGTTTTAGAATATGTATTAAAGATAGAAAATGAAGACATTTTAAGATGAGCCAATGATATTATGTGATTTGTTGCAAAGAATAAACATTTGTTTAAAAAGTGAAATGGCTACTTTTTAGAGAAGGCTTCTGTTCAATTTGTTACCAGGAAGTGAGAGTTGGGTGTATCAGGGAAACAAGTAGAATGTCATAGAAAGCGGGTATTTAAGAAGTCTGACGTGAAAAATAAGAAATAAAAATAATGACTGAAGAAGATGGACCAAATATTAAAGTGAATGATGTATACTAAGCTGGTTTGGTCGTTTAAACAGAATAATGAGGATCGAGTTCCAAAAGAAATATATGAAGGATGAATAGGTTGAGAAGAACAAGAAAACAGATAAAACTATTTATCATTGACTGAAGTTGATGAGAAACTGAAAAAAAGGGAAGATTAAAGGATTAAAAGAATGGATGAAGCAGTGTATACATGTGAGGGAAGCAGACTGGTTCATATGGATATAAAGATAATGGGGAGATGCAATGATTGGTATTAGTGTAAACTACATTAAGCTGTATTTTCTTTTCTTATAATGCCCTATTTTCATTTTTTTTTGGCTCACTATTTCTTACTTCTTTGCTTTGTTTTGCATAATCTAAAGGGAGTATCACAATAAATAAGAGTATGTATTTAAGAAATATACCTGATCCTTTCTTCATTATATTTCTTCTGCTCTACATCCAGGATATTCTTTACAACCATGTACCATTTTCTAATATCAAAAATTGGACAACCTGTAGAACAAAACAACTTGTAACTCTTCTCATAAAAGCATTCAATAGAGAAGCAAACTCAGAAATAGAGACAAGCCTTATTACACAAACAAACCATGCTAACTCTCTCCACTTTGTAATTAAAAGTACTACACTGATTTTCCGATATCCTAAGATTAAGAGCATATATTACATAATATAAACAAGTCTACTTCCTAATGCAGATTTCTAAAGATAATGATTTAATCCCAAACAACCTACACCAAAGCCTATAAAATGATTTCACCAGCTTTGTCACCCTGTGACAAAACAATCTTCATTAAACCATAATAGCTCTGGGACACACAGCATTCCCCTGACCAAAACACGTAGGTCAGCAAAAGAGTTTAATACTAATCACAGCTATGAACAGCAGGAACATTTGAGGGAAACTGCATCAAAAAAGTGAGAGATTGTGAGAAAGAAAAGCATAAATTTGCAGCCAGTCTGTGAATGCCTGTGACTGAAAAACTAGTTGATTCACATAACCTCTGAACTCATTGACTCAAAACTTATATCCTATAAGTAGCATAGATACACAACTCTAAAATTCAGGCAACCCCTTGAATATTCTTAAAATAATCTGCCAACATATTCCAACTATGCAGAGTTTTTTGTTTTCTCTTTCCTAATTTCAAATATTTTTCAGATGAGTCTTCACAATTATGACAGACACTTTAAGAGGAATGGTTGAAATTACAAAACTTAATCTATATTGTTATTTTTAAAAAGCTTGGTTACCTTCTTCATTTTTTTTGTTTCTTTCCTCCGCGTAGTTTGCTAGCAGCCTGAAAGTACAAAATACTAATCAGATTGTGTTTAAACTTATCAAATGTATTTAATATTTGAATTACTACCACTGGACTGTTTAAAATTTTAACAATCCAGAAATCAACTGTAGTCTATCAGCCTTATATATACACTATGTACACATTAGCACATACTGCCATCAAAGGGGGGCATCGCTAAATTTTCACATGTTGAAATTCAGGTTGCCAGCACAGCCCAAATATTAAACTTCACTGCATCAAAACAATTTTTATCTGCCTCCACATAAGATAAATAATACTTTGATTAATGTTAGGTTCAATAAATTCTGATACTATTAAAGCTTCAATGAACACAATCTGTCATAGGAAAATGGCAAAAGAAAATGCAAGTTGCAATTTATTTTTTATTTATTAGGTTTACGTATTGTCTCTTGTACAGGAGCTCAAGATTGTACATAGTGCTGACTCCTTTTTTCCCTACAACAACAATCTGGTGAAGTAGGCTGGGCTGAGAGAAACTGCCTCACCCAAAGGTATCCAGCGAGAATCATGGTTGAAAATTAATATTAACCAAGCAAGAAGCTATTTTTTATCTAAACCAATTTCAATTTTTAAAAAGATTTTTATAATTAAGAACATTTGACTACTAATTTTGCAATTCAGAGTTGCAAAGTTAAATATTCTTTTTTTTATAAAGCAAAGGACACTTACCATTCATATTCATCATCTAACAAGAATAAAATTTTCAGCACTACTATAATAATAGCTACAGCAAGTATATCATATTTCACTTTCCAAGTGGATTTATTGCCAGGATGAAGCGTCAGAAAGTCTGTTTCACCAACACCAATTTTTTTTATCACTCTACCAGTCCATTTATTCATATCATCTGAATGGGAAAAAAAGATTGAGAGTAGCCTCAAATGTTACAGAATACAACATTCTGAAATAGTCACACCAACCAATGAGTTACATATTGTCTCTCTGAAATAGTTACATAGTTGCAAGTAAACATGTTTAGCCTTTAGGAATTAGTATTTCAGATAAAATGGAAAATCATATTATAATATCTCCCAGCACAAAGTAGACCAGGTCAGTAAAAATAAAACTCTTTAACAACTAGTTATTTTGGCATTACATAACCAAAGTAAAACTCCATAAATCTCCATCGATTTTGTTAGAAAATGTAAGTAATCAGAAACTTAATACACTAAGTAAAATTAAATTATAGTTCATGGTCATGTCTTCATATACTTCAAAAATTAAATTTAAAAAATGTATGTGTTGAGGTTTTATAACTTGATAGTATGATAGCATCAGTTGTTCTTGTTTTTTTTTTTAAATTATTACACTAAATTTAGAGCATAATATAAGAATATTTCTGACTTTTCAAACTAGCAAGGATATCACAAACCTTCACTAGATCCAGTGATGGTCTGAATAGATGTGATAGATGATAGACAGACAGACAGACAGACAGAGATCTTTATTTTTGTTTTGTGAGGGTCCAATTGGTGGTTCATTGTACCCATTATCTTGTTTTACTATAGGAGCCCGTTTCAAAAAATAAGATTTTCACCAAGAACATATAAGCAACTAGAAGATACTAAAGTAGACTACTAAATATTCCCTTACCAGGCAAGTTGATTTCCAGCATATATTTCATGCAAATAATATTTGGATGAAGGAAGCTGCCCTCTGTTATATCTGGAAAACAAGGCAGGTCGATGAATTCTGCAAGGGCATGCATTTTTTTATAAACATCATCATACTTAGGCCAAGACTGAAAAACAAAATATGTAAATAAGTATTAGAAGATGTTGTGGGTTATGAATGTGTGTGAATGAACAAACTCATTTTCTACAGGATCATTATCCTCATCTTGCTCAAAACACACACCTATATTTTCTTAGCTACCCTACAGAGCCCCAAGTATTATGCAGAATTTCTCCAGCATCAACTTTAATCAGTCATGTTCTTTTGAACATAGACAAAACATAAATCTCACAGGAACAAATTAAATAACTTTAATTTTAAATTATTTGTTCACAATAATTTCAGACTATATAATCATTATTATCATGCACTGTAGAAACATACATACATACATTTACACACAGACACACATTATATATATAGATAGATAGATGGGGGGGGAGAATATATAAAAAAGCAGGATAAATGTAATATTATTGTTCACCACGCAGATGTTTAAACTGGATTTCACATTTTTGTCTACTTGTCCAGGGAAAGGAAACTCTATAGGATAGATCCAGATTACCTTAATTTTACAAAGGTAAAAGAGTGAAACTAGAATAGGAAAAATATCCCATGGTTCTTCACAAATGTTGCCTTTGCTTTTTTAGACAGTTATTTTTTGTGGTGTCACACCATTTCTCCTTTTTTCTCTGACATCTCTAGAGCACTTGGGACACACAAACAACCTGTTATTATAGTTGTGTTGGGAACTAGTGGTCAGCAGACATGATGAAAACTCCTTAATTTCACAATACATGGACGGACTTAACATACTTTCCACTGGGAAACTCTGAGCATCCTAGGCCAAGCCAAGTTTCAAAATGCTAGAGAATTTCTGGAAACCTGGAAACTCAGACAAATTGGCCAGCAACAAGCACATAGATCTACATACCATTCAAAAGAGGCAATCTAAAAGCTAAAAAGGAAACAAAGACCAAAACACTTCCTCACTAGCAATCAATATTCAGATAAACAAACATTAACACCGAGATTAACACTAGACAACAATCAAAAAGTAATACCCCAATCCAGGAAGCACAAAGTAGAAAATAACATATCCAGCAACACTGACAATTAACACCTAGTAGTACATAAAATAAGAGCAAACTCCATTCCCTTCTTGTACTGATGATGTTACCCAGCATGATAATGAAACATCTACAAGGAAACAACCAAGTCTCAGCTCCTTATCTTGCATAGCACGCAGACAGCAAGAAAATGCAGCAGGACACATCAAGACGAGATTCAATGCTGGTTTAATGCTTTCGTCAGTTATGAGTTAACACCGAGCTACAAACCATTTCAAAGTTGGCGCTACGAGCGTCCGCCTTGTAGCACCTTTTATCTCGTTGCCCCACCCCTCCCTTATTGATCGAGCGGCCGCCCGTCAGCTGTAGAGGCGTCTCCTGGAAGCTCCCCCTCGTTTCCTGTTGGGTTGATTCCATCTTAGGCTTGGAGCTCCGTGGACTGACAGCGTTCCTCAGCGTGAACCTATTCCCAACGCCTCACCACCCGAATCCGTCCCGCCTGCACCCAGTGCCACCACCACCAGTGTTGTGTATTATTGCGTCTCCCAGGGGTTCTTTGTGCTTCATGTCCAGCACCGTTCCTCCTTCCCGTCACATCAGTATCGAGCACGCCGGGCTCGACACCCAGCTCAGAGAGCACCTAGGACCTTATAAGAGCCAGCTTCCCCTGGTCTTTTCCTGCTGAAGAGGAAGTATAACACATGTGTTAGTGTAGGATAAGCAGCAACGGAAGAGAAGACATTTCACTAAAGAAACTTCCATGTGCTGAAGATTCTCCATTCCTGTTTTGCAAATTATGGGATTGAACAAAATACTTATATTACTAAATTGAACAAAAAAGGGGAAACAATGCACAAATGGGAGGAGGGGAACATTGTTATCTATGTCATAACAGTTTTTCTTCCCTTGTTTTTATTTAAAAGGCTGGTGATACAACATTCATTCAAAACATTTCAAGCTTTACCGCTCATTAAATATGCTCAAGATTCTAGAGCTCAAAAACACACAATGTGTATAATTTAAAGAAAAGTTTTGTACATAAATAGAAGCTGTATTACTATAGTCTTGAATGTTCAGATCAGCATTTTTTTTCAAAGTATCTTTCCTACCTGGAGGTTTTTCTTGAAAAACCAGTAATATTTGTATTACCAGACTTTTGTGCATTGGGTTTATGCTGGCCTTCAGACACTTCGGGACATTAGTCTAAAAGCAGGATTTAACCATGGGAATTACAAGCTGGAAGCAACATCCTTTCCTAATATCTATGACATCTCTGTGCATAAGCTCTCCAAAATTTTAAAAACTATAAAATAAGATTTTAATAACATAAAATGAACCAAATGTGTAGGTTTTATTCTAAAACATATGAATTGAAATAGCATTTTTTTTCAACTGTAAACAATAATGAGGCATATAAAGATTCATGTGTATATTGAAACAAATTGTTTAAGGAAGATGAAAACTTTTTTAATAGAGAACATTATACGGTCATTTTCATGACTATAAAAGTTTCTAGGCTCAGGCAAAACTGCAAGTAGTCTATTGCTTTTAAGTGACAATCCCTGGAGTAAAAGTGACACCACTATACTGTAGGAAACCAAAATTGCCACCAAATTAATTTGTGCATATTGTAGGGAAGGCATATTTCATTTCACCATATTCCACCACTGGTGGAATGAGACAGTGCACATGAAAAATGTAGCCACTTAGTAGTCATTCACAGCACCAGTCTGATCTCTTAGACATTCAATGTGAAAGAGTCTATACCAGTGATGGCTAACCTTTTCCGGACTGAGTGCCCAAAGCGTGTGTGTGTCTGAACCCCCAAAATGCATTGCATGCGCCCCCCCGGACATGCGATCCCCCACATGAATGTGTGTGCAGCCCCCTGCCTGGACCCCCCGCACATATGCACGGGGGCCCCCTGCATGTGCCTCACCCCCCTGCACATGTGCCTTCTCCCCCCCACTTGTGCACAGCCACCCCACACACCCCACGCGAATGTGCAGCAGAGACCCGAAGACCAGTTGGCTGGCAGGAGGCGTGCACGCATGCGCAGCAGAGCTGAACTGCAGCAACAGATCGCGTGCCATTGGAGAGAGCACTGTGTGCCACCTCTGGCACGCGTGCCATAGGTTCGCCATCACGCGTCTATACTCTATAGCAAACCGTAATAGGCCTCTCTCTACACACACACATACATACCACATATATTCAGAAATACAATTTCTTACATTCAGCTTGTCTTAATGTGAGAGAACTAGAGCAACATAAAGTACATGAAAGTTCTGAGATTTTGCTTTTATAGGCAGCTTAAATATACTTTAAAGAAATAACTATCAACCTGCCTCCAGAACAAAATTTCAGAAAAATATACAATGTCACTAAGATAACTATACTATAATTATCTAAAGGTTTTAAAGAAACATTTAATATAATTTTTAGGCACTGAACAATTATATTGGGATAGAGCCATTCATTTTAAAAAAGCCAACTAACTAAAAGTCATCATGAAGCATTTAAACATATACCAAGCCATATATATATATTTGAAAAACCTGGAATATACAGGAAATGGTGACGACCACATTCTCTCCACTCAAGGCTATGTGAATGCTTTTTCTGTCACATCTATAATACTGACATTTTCACTGTATTAGCAAAAATTAGTCACATTTATAACGCGGATACAGACCTCCACAAAGACGAGAGGCAAATCAGAGATTTCTGTCAACCATATAATTTTTCTGCAGCTATTTAGCTGCCAAGTCTTTCCCTTCAAAAACAACATAAGCAGTTTGGCCATCCAGCAGGACAAATGAATAAACCTGTTCAGGCAAAGAACGCATTTATACAAATTTGGATATGCCAAATATATGCACACTAAGATGAAGATCAGAACAGAAGAACTTTAAAGCCCAATATTAACATTTAGAGCAACATAAAACAAATTGATTAGCCTATTACAAGCATGGAACTGTGATCTATTGGTAAATGTGTTAGACTAGGAGCTGGAAGAGCCAAGTTCTAGTCCATCTTCAAACAAGGAAAAATCACCAGATGACTCTAAAACCAACCTCAGGCCCACCCTCCCCCTGAATGTGTATTTTTACAAATACCAAAATACTACTGACCAGACACATCACTAGAAGCCTATCATAAGACTACATCTGATTTATTTTGGCCATGTCATGCATGCAAATTCATTGGAGAATCAATGATGCTAGGAAGAAGAGGCAAGCAAACATACTTTTGTTCAAAGTACAGCATACAGTATGTTCAAAGTACAACATACAGTATGTTCAAGCCAGAACATACTGGCTTGATAACATCAAATCTGATATAAAGGTGAACATCCAACAACTGAAAGAAGCTGCACTTGACAGGGTAGCAGGGAGAGTCCTTGCCTATAAAATCACCAAGAGTCAGACACAACTGAATGGTTAAAACAACAACAAACTAACTAAATGTGAACAGTCATTGTACCATTTCAGTACAGGCAAAAGATTATGTGTCATTTTTTTTGACTCTTCACAATCACATAAAATAGATTTTCTCTGCAACAACCTAGGCTTAATCAGTTCTTTCAGGTCTCCCAACATTGCACTCATTGCCCCCTTGGTCCTGGCCATCCTCTTCTCTTTCCTTCCACCTTTCCCAGCATTAAAGCTTTTTCTAAAGAGCTAGGTCTTTGCGTAATGTGTCCCAAGATGAATAATTTGTCATTTGTGCTGCAAACTGCATTGTTTTGTTTAATGATACCCTGCTTTGTTTTCTTGCCGGCCACAATATTGTCAAGGAGTCTTTTCCAATACCCAAGTTTAAAAATGTCAATATTCTTCCTATCCTACCTCTATAAAATCTAACTTTCACTTTCTATAGAGTGTCATAAGGAAAACCATGGTTGCAAGATTCTGATCTTTGTAGATATGGACACATCACAACACTTGAGTATCTTTTTTAAAGACCTTCAGGTTTGCTCTACCAAATGCTAATC